TCCTCTCATTTTACACACAATTCTTCAACATTTCAATACTCTTTCATTGCATAAGCATTCCTATCTTTTCTTAGCTATTTGAGAGCCAATTCTTGAAGAAATTGTCGTGTTCTTGAGCGTTTACTAGTTCACTCATATCTACTCTTTGTGAGAGTTTTATTCCTGAGTGTTTAAGTGTTTTCATACACTTTAAGGGAGGTTGTTCCCTTGTTGTAAACTCGAAGGAAGTTCTTTGTTCCTTCGTGAGAAGTCTTGGAGTGTGGTATCTCCGAGCAAAGGCGTTGAGGCTCGTGTGACTCGGGTTCTCAAGTTGTATCGGTTTGTTAAGCACCCTTAAGCTTAACGGAGTTAGCTAGTGTAGCTCGAGAGAGTCTCTCGGGAGGCTGGATTAGCCACACGTTGTGGTGAACCAGGATAAAATTCAGTGTGCTTCTTCCTTACGCTCTTTACTTTAACGCTCTCATTTTTAATTTCCTACGATTTTGTTTCAAACGCTATTCACCCCCCTCTAGCGTTGGGCCTTTATTCTAAAAATTGGTATCAGAGCCTAGCTCTCTGAAAGACTTAACGGTTTGAGAGAAACGATCAATGGCTTCTACTCAAAACTTATACGCAGGTTTAGGAGAAGGGCAATCCACCACGAGGCCTCCATTATTTGATGGAACGAATTACACATATTGGAAGGAGAGAATGAGAATTTTCATCCAATCCAACAACTTTCTCCTATGGAGAATTATCAAGAATGGGGAAGAAGTGCCCATGAAGAAAGTTGGGGAAACCACCGTTCCCAAAACCGAAGACGAATACGATGCGCAGGATATCAAGAAAATAGAGAACAACGCCAAGGCTATCAACATCCTTTATTGTGCAGTAAATCCGGATGACTACCGGAAAATTTTATGTTGTTCCACCGCTAAGGATATGTGGGATAAGCTCGAAATCACGTATGAAGGTACGAATCAAGTCCGAGAAGCTAAGATAGATTTTCTAACCCATGAGTATGAATTATTTCGTATGAAGGAAAACGAGAAAATCGACGATATGTTTGAACTATTTTTAAAAATCGTAAACGACCTTCATGCCCTCAAGAAGACATATACGGACAAGGAGCTCGTAAGAAAAATCTTAAGGAGCCTCACACCGGAGTGGCGTTCCAAGGCCGATGCCATTCAAGAATCTATCAGCATCACCAACGTCACCATTGACGGACTTAGAGGTAATCTCAAAACCTGTGAGGCTACCATTCTTTACCCCTCTCTAGGTGAACAAAAGAAGAATGGGATTGCCCTCAAGGCATCTACAAGCCAAGAACGTGCTATGGAAGACTCGAGTGACGAAGACGAGTTCGGGATCGTGCTCAAGAAATTCCATAAGTTCATGAGCCAAGAGTAGGAATGGAAAGGAAAGAAGCAAGGAAGTCCACCCAAATGCTATGGGTGTGGAGAAGTTGGGCATATAAAACCAAAATGTCCAAACGCCAAGAACAAGAAGAAAATGGTCAAGAAGCACCGAGCCTACATCTCATGGGGAGGTGATTCCGGCGACGAGTCATCGGAAGGCGAAGAAAATGAGAGCACCAACCTTTGCCTCATGGCACACTGCACGAGGAACCACCGGAAGAGGTATGTACCACTTCTAAAGATTCCTATACTTTTGATGATGTACAAGAAGCCTTTAATGAACTTTATGATGAATATGTCAACGCTTCTAAAATTAACAAGGATTTGAAGAAACAACTTACTTCCATGGAGAAGGAAGTTGATAAACTATCAAAAGATAATGAAAAACTTAAAGAAGAAAATTAATTTTTCGGAAAAAGAAGCGCCGACAAACCGGAAAGTTCAAAATGTAGTTCTTGTATATCACTTATAGATCAAGTTGCAAAACTTGAAGGAACTTTGAAGAAGTTTGGTGTTTCTCATAAAAACCTTAATGATGTTCTTGACAATTTGCAACTTACTAAACATGGCTTAGGTTTTGAAAATGAACCTAATAATAAGGAAAAAGTTGAGCAACCATCTAGGAAACCTAAGGCTCAACTTAGGAATAATGAAAATCAAGAAAATAGACAACCTAGAACAATTAGGAACATTAGACCACCTAGAAAGAACACTAGGATGAACAATGGTCAAGTTAGAAAACCTAGCAACTATTATCAACCTAGGAGAATGCATAATCCAAATGTTATTTGTCATTATTGTAATAGGGTAGGTCATATAGCACCCGTGTGTTTTAGTAGGAATAGGCATTACACGTATAACAAAACACACACTTTGCATGGAACTAACCTAATGAAATCCTTTGAAAAAGGATATTCGAACTCTAACCAATCCCTGCAGGAATCAACGCAAAAGAAACCATATTACTTCTTCTATTATGATGAAAAGAAGAAGATTCACATACCACTTCCAGAACCCACACAAATCAAACCGAGGTATAGACATTCGGTTCGAGTAGACTGGAACCCGCCAACCGCAAAACGACGAGTTGGCCAAGGTAACACTTAAACACGCGTGTTGGTACATGTGTGTGTGTGTTTGCGTACCATGTGTATGTGATTATGGGTGCGTGTGTTTATTAGTTTAAAAAGTCGTGTTACTAATCCTCAAGGACCCAAAAGACCAAACGGGTACCAAAATGTTTTCATTGTAGGCGTTGAAGTCAGGGGGAATGTGAACAATCGATTTACAGGCTTGTGATAATCGACTATCACAACCCACAGGAGTTGAAGCAAAGAAACTGAACGAGCCAACAATCGATTATCAACATAAGGATAATCGACTATCACTGCCCGCAGAAGTTTGTAGCAAATCAACCACAAAACTTCAACAATCGATTAATTCAAGTCATGATAATCGATTATATAGGGCTGCAGAAAATTCTCTGAAGTCAAGTGCAAACTTCAACAATCGATTTACAACAACAAGGAAATCGACTATCAAAGCCTGCAGTTTCTTTGGCGGAGAATCTGAAGACTCAAATAATCGATTTACAAGAAGTGTAAATTGATTTACAACGGGGATTTTTCAAAAATCTGATCGTTACACAGACGTTGGAACTACATTCAAGGCACCTTTTTGACTTCCCAAACGCATCTCAGGCCTCTTCCACTATATATTGGTGATATCCTTTCATTTTTTACTCACTCAAATCACAATTCCTTCATATATTCATCATTATTTCATCCTTCTTGCAATTATTCTTCAGTGTTCTTGCAAAATCCCTGCAAATTTCTCTTCTTTTTGTCTTGCTCTCCCTCTCTCTCTTTGTTGATATGGCAGGAGGTCAAAGA